GCATGGCCATACACTTTCTCAATACCCAATCCCGCCAGCCCGTCCCGAAGAATTTGCATCCGACCGAAAACCAGGGCTGTACATCCTCTCACGACTGGACACCATGTTTACCCCTTGAAGCGAACAGCACGCATGCACCATGCTTGGTTTTGCTTGCTTATAGGGTGATGTTTTTTGTGTTTGTTTTATTTCCTTATGGGAGTATGCCCCTTCTGGGGAACAGCAAAAATCCGAGCATGTGTCCGGCCCTGTCTTTGGCCTGTAGGTATCCAATTGTCGGGATGCCTTCGTGTGGGTTCGAGTGCATCCGGTTCAGCAACCGGTTCGTTTGTTTGGATTCCGTTGCGTGTTCAGTTTCAGCCACACCCATTTGCGACCAGGTGTGACCGAATGGTGTCCTTTACAGAGTGATTCCTCAAACAAAGAGCAGAATGTGTGCTTTTACTTGCAGGTTTCACAGTTTGACATGGCGGGATCATACAGTTCTTCAGTATCAGTAGCAGAATAAGTTCTGATGAACATAATAAGTCAAGAGGTTTGGCTCGATTAACAAACTGTTGGTAATTGACATTGTTGTTTTTCTGCACAGTATCAAGGGTCCGGGTGGTCAACCCAGCCAGCTTTTGAAATGGAGGCTTCGGGTCTCAGACCCCTCCATTGAGCCCTAAAATCCTTCGCCTAAAATCCTTCGCGAAGGAAAGCTGCCCAAAGATGGCGGCGAATTCTCCTTCGACACAGGACCCAGCTTCTTCAGTCGGGGCCTCGACGTGCGCTTCGCGGTTCGGTTCGCACGGCCGTTGGTGACGGCTGGGATGCTGGGAAGACCAATTCTGGTGGCATAGCCACAAATCTGTGTACGCCGTTCACCAGCCAAGCTCTATTGCAGTAACCATAGAAGCTCTCTTCTAAGTCTGTGTGTGTGTTCGATTAGAGAAACCCAGCAACCAAGAGCTTCTGGAATGTTTTGGTCTACTTGGGTGTCTTGAAGGGTTCAGTATTTGATCCACTCAGATTGCAGCGCCACTGAAAGAATTTGTACCCGTACCCCTCTTCTCACAGGTGTTCATGGACACAGGGCACCCCTTTGTGACTCTTATCCACCTCTTTTTATAATCCTTTATTGAGCTGGGGAAACATATATTATATAGTATAGAGATCAACATAGATTTTTATTCACCAAGACCTTCCAAGAGGTGCCCATGGAGCCCCAGAAGTAGCTAAGGGTGGTCTGGAGTCTATGGGTGACCTCTTGGACGATGATGGTCGTCGTGACACATGTGAACCACTTGTGGTTTGATTTGGTTGCTTTGTCCGTTGGTCGGTGCACCCAAATCTCTTCAGCGCAGGGAGCACCCTTCATTTGTGGTTGCACGATGCTGCCCAACAAACCAGAAACAGAGGTTCCCCCCCCCAAAATGAGCATGGTATACAAAGTACACCAATGTGCATTTGTGCATCCTCCCTTCTCTTGTGCTTTTCCAAGCCTTCTGCTTCTCCAAGCCACCCAGCAGACACCGAAGCAACACCCACCCGACCCGACCCGTGGCACCGATCCCCAGGTGGCCTGTCCGATCCGAAGGGCGCGCGCATCAATCCGCTGAAGGCGGTCTTGGATCTCCTGGACGTCCAGCTGCCCTGCCATCAGCCCCTGAGAACTGAAAACGGATCCCAGACACGGAGAGTGTCTGGCGACCTCCAAAAGCTAAGCACCTCCATGTAGGTAAATATGCCATACATGGAGTGTTTGGGTATGGAATAATTACATACATTTACTCCATGTATGACACCATGTATGACACCAATGTAACCATTCCATACATGGAGTGTTTGATGCCCAGGACAAATGTGTGTAATTCAGCAGCGTTGAGGTACGAAGCATTTCCTAATTTCAGGCTCTGTATGGGTTAATTCAAGCATCAAAGCCACAGCCAGGCTTCCAAGAGAATTTGGGGAGGGCCGGAGAAATGATAGGATTTGAATGGATTTGAAAAGACTGTCCATTGATGGGTCTGCAATTATGGCCGCCCCATGACTGGTGGTTGCTTTGAGATGTTTTGAGTGGTTTTCATGCAGGCCATATTTGTCCCCTTGGTCGTGTCTGGGATTGTCCCATTGGTCGTCAATACCAGTGGGGAAGATCGAGTCGTTTCCACTTCTTTTCACCGCGAGTGATGCGTATCCAAGAAGGCTCATCTAGCGTGAACCGGGTGTCTTCCAAACAGCAGGTGGGTGTTTGATTTGGAATAGTACCATTGTAGTCAAGTTTGTTGCTGGCTCCATCCATACCACCTGAAAGGAGTGCTACACTGCTACACTCTACACCACCTGGAAAACCCATCGACGCGTCACGCGTGACGCGCGCAGTGTGACAGTTCATTTTGTTTATGTTTTGTGGCATGCGGCATGCACGTGTTTGTTTTTGGTGTATATATAAGGACATAGATGGACATAATAGTAGGACTGTTCGTTGACCCTCCTTGACCCCAAGGTTTGCCCTTTTTTTCATGAATACTGGTGAGGAAGACCATAATATCTTGAGCCACACCACAGACCATACTGGTTTTGCTCACATATACTGATCTAGAGGCTTTGGCTCTAGGCTTGTCAGAAGCAGATGATATGGAGGACCTTTGACTTGGACCTGCTTTGGGGGCTATGTTTTCCATGTCATTCCATGTATGGCATATTTACATACATTGACCACAAAAACCACCCCAATGCAGGCAAATGTGCCACACATGGAGTGTTTGGGATGAGTCATCTACTCAAAGCAGATACATTCACCATTAGACACCCGGAATCCATGGTGCGTCTCCAGAATTGAGTTCTGTTCTTTTTGTTGGTTTAAAATATATGTAACCTCTTTGGGATTGTCCCCCCCCGTCCCCCTGTCCGGGGTCCCGCCGTTCCAGGTATCGTTCCTTTGGGCTTTGCTTGCCCGAGGGCGATTTCCTCCATACACCCGAGCCTTTTGGACCGCAGGGGCTTCGAATGAAAGATGTGGGGTGGACACATGCGTCGTCGTCTATAGGCTCGCGCATGCGTGGTTGGACTGAGAGACACGGAGTGGGTGGTGGAAGAAATGCTGAGTTGATGGGTGGGGTGTGAAAGAGCTGAATGCGTGAATGGATATAAATCTTCACTTTTCAGCAAGCACATCACAGAGTCTTTTCGGGTCGTTTCTATAGTTGTGGGGTTTTGTGGCTGCTTTTTGCTTGCTCGTGTTCGGCGGCTCGCCCTTCGAGCCGCGGCAAAAGAAAGGCCGAGGAAGTGCCCTGCAAGTCAGTTGGCATTGGACCTCATTGAAAAGCAAGAAATTCTGAAGTTGATCATACCAAAAAAAAACCACTCTTCAATGACATGAGGTGGTTTTCAGAACCAGGAGACTGGCTGACGGTCGGACCCGGGTCCGCCGTCCCGGCCGAGGTTTGGAGAGCAGATCCTCCGACAGGTCTCCGGACCGAGCGCCAGCAGGGAATGGGAGGGTCTCCTGAAGCTCGGCCCGGGAGGGTGGAGTGGAGGGCGGGCGATGGCGCCACCGGTGGGGAAGAGCTGGTTTGGTGGTTTGGTGGTGCAAAAGGAATCTCAAGAGCATGGATGACTGAAGGGGATTGGAACATGGTGATACGGTTTTGGGTGTTGAGGTCTTAACGAATGGGTCTTGAACACCAGGAGGAAGGAGGACACCGGGGGGGCCCTCCACACGAGCCGCCTGTCCGGCGGAGGACTGTGGGGAGCGAGGTCGACCGCCAGACCGTTCGACACGGTACCTTTGGCCTACCAGAGGTGCCCATGTCTGTTTGAGTCAGTCCAAGACTATATGTCTTAAACAATAGATAACATATGGTTCTTATATATAGGTGACCCAAAAAGGCGTTTACTGTACTTTGATGGCGCCAAAAAAGTCTTTTGGTTTGTGCCAATCCTCTTTTTTGAGGACAGCTGACATAAAAGATATCTGATAGTCGAAACTTTGTTTCGTTGGTTTTCGTGCATTTGCAGGTGCTGATGTTCCACTTCTTGTGCAACTTTTTGCAGCATGTCAGGCAGTCCCAGTAGCGTCGAACCAACTCGGTGATGACACTCCCGTCGCAGCCCGTGGCGATGAAATCATCTATAGTCCTTAATGACTGCATTCATGAATCTCACTACAGACATTCCATGTATGGAACATTTACCATAGACATCTATATGACCACAATTCCAACCACCCCCAACAAAAAGGTACAGGTCCCGCCTTCCCGCCCAGCTCGTGTTGGAAACAGGGCTTGTCTCGGTTCCTTTGGGATGGTCTATCTCTCAGGACTGCGATGAAACCCTTAGCAGCCCTCGTGGAGGCGCGCACGCTTAGCACATGGCTGGCGGGAAGTTCAGACCGCTCAGACCGGCGGGAGACCGCTGTGAGAGAGGGGTGGGGTGGGGTGTCTCGCACCGAATCCGTATGGTTTGGGGGATGCATGGTAATTTGCCAAGCGGCAAAATAACAAGAAAAGCCGCATATACTGAACGACTTCTTGAATCTCTCAGATCAACAGTGTCTCCAAGATCAAGAACAGCCCTGCTTCTGAAATATAGAGGACAAGCTCACAGTTAGCACAGTGATTTAACACGACTATAGGCTTCTGTGAGGGGGGGGCAACCTGCACCCTCCGCTGTTGATGTTGAAACCAACTAGCTACCTGGACCCCGACTTCAAGTATACCCTATAAATGGGATATGTGGCCCTCAAGCTGAACACCTAGAACAACCTAACAAGAGGCGAATTGCAACTAGCACCGTCCCTTTCGGGTGGTTGCAGTAGATTCAGAGTAGGTGGCACAAACAAGAACAGGATGTCTTAGACAGATGGGGGGTCCATCTAATCCACCAAACTTGGGGGTCCCTGTCGGATTTTGGACGGATGTGGTGACCATCCTCCGTCGCAGTTTCTCAGGCGCTCCCCGTGCCTGCATTGCGGCTGGACGCCGGTGCGTTGCTCACCGTGGCGCCCTTCCTACCGCGCTTCCTGGCCGCTGGGCCTTTGAAGCCTGGCTGAGAAGGGCAAATAAGTCAATAGTATTATATATATATATAAATATAAATAGTAAAATTATAGATAGTAAAAACACATATAAATGCTATATAACTATTATATATATACATATTGAAATGAGGATAAACTATAGGTGTTAGAATCAGACATAAATCGAGCCAAATCAACTGAGCAAATCATTTGCCAAGCAACCTGTGCGAGCCACTTCACGGTCACTTTGCTTGCCGAGCTGGTAGGTTCCTGCCCGCACAGTGTCCTGAAGGTGCTGACATCAGGGAGGGGCCCCTGCTGGCAATGGTAGACAAGGCAACCAGAATTCAGGTAACGGGTTTGGTGATCCTTTGGGCACGGTCAAAGGCAAAAGGTCACCCTGTGGCAGAAATCAAATCAGCTCTCGGATTTGCTGACAAGGTCTGAGAAAGCGGTTGATGCAGCACAATGAACTGCGAAAGTGTTCCAGATGTATGGCCTGCCACAGTTGGTTCTAAAACATCGAGACTTTCTCGACTGGGGTTTGTCAGTTTCCATTGCGTGTTTTGGTGAAACAACCTTCTCAGGTGGTCTTTGCGAAGTGAAGGACTTAAAAGGACCACATATATGGACCGGTCGACTGATTAGGCTTTTTGGTGTCTTTTGTTTTGACATGTGACATGCCCAAGACAGGTGGCCGTCACCGGGAAATATATCTTGATGTCCTCAAGAAGAGCCTTATTTCACCAGAGGTGGATGGAAATGGACCAATGGCCTTTACAAACATGTGTTTTTTCTGTATGGTTTTTTTCCACTTCCATTTGAGTGAGTCGGGGTGTAGTGGAGTTAGTGCACCGAGTCCTGGTGCGAAATGGTGATCCGAGCCCTCGCGGGCGCCGGCCCAGGATGGTTCCACCTATGGGGAGTGTGTAGATGTTCTGAAGAACCACAGAAGCCGTGTTTACCCTCCCTGCAACAAACATGGAAGTGGAAAGCACCCCCTCTTGGCCCTCTTGGTAGAGGAAAGTAGTCTTCCTTTCGGAGCCACGCCCTCCACGTCCATGATTGTTTCAGGGAGTGTAATACGATTCGGCAGCTTAGGCAGGAGGCATCACCATTGCTGACATTCTTGGTTTGCGCTGTGGGTCAAATGGCACCGGAGGACCCTGGGCATCACCACTCCCAGGAATGCACAGCAGCTCAACGATCCCTTTGCAAGAACGGTGGAGAGGCCAGGCATGACGAGATGAGTGGACAGGCGATGTGATGATAGGGATTGAGCCGGGATTTGGGGATTCGGCATATGGATTCACTTGGATTCATGTTTTTTTCTTGATGATTGCAGCAAATTGGGATCACATGGTGCTATTTTGCTTGGATACTTTCATTCTTTTTGGGGTGAACCTGCTAGGCCATGCGAGGGACAAGGGGTGCGAGCCAAACAACTTGTATGAACCTGAACCTTTTGGTGGAGATGGTCTTTTTGGTGGAGGAGCTGCTTAGCTGCTTGTCCATGAAATGATGGTTCTTTTGAAGGGATTTCCAATACCCTTCAACAGGAGTTCTCCCGTGTTTTCCAAATTCGGTGAGCAGAACCCACGTGGGCCAGAGGAGAACAGAACAGCCGGGGGGCCAGGAGGGCTCGGGTTGGAGGTCCTTCCAGCAATGGTTCCCTGCACAAGTGGCTTCCTACCTGGGAAGGGCACCTCTGACTATCCCTGTATGTCATACGTCCAGATATGTCCAAATGTTTGATGTTGCTGAACTGCTTTGGCAGGGCAGCAGGGATACCAGACGGTGAAAAACGCACCAGGATCTTTGAATAAGTGGGGGGATGCTAGGGGCTTCTTAAGGCAACACCATCATTTTGGTGGCTTCTGGGTACTTACAGACCAGTGGGGATCACGGTGCTCCAGTACTTGAGCTTTCTCCTCGCCCCAATGGTGAGAGGGCTGGGGTGACCGATCCTTTTGCTCGGCGTTGGTTGGACTTGCCGCATGGCTGCCGAAGTCTGCCGCGCGCCGCGCGGGTTCGAGCGCGAACCCGGGGTGTTCCCCCTAAACTGGGTGATTCGGAGGATTTGGAGATGATGTCCCTGACTTTTCGCACGCTGCGAGGATGAAACAGTCATGAAGTTGAAAGAGTGTGGGGCTTTAATAGAGTGACTAGTCGACGGTTCGAAAGCCATTTTACAATTTTCTTGGGTCTAGACCGCACCCCTTTGTGCTTCGCAGCTGCTGCACTTCGTGGCTCCAGCCACGAAGTGCCATCTGGCGCCTGTCAAGGATTCGTGCAGTGTACAACAAGTGTGCAAGGGTCAACAAGTAAGTGCTTGTTTGCAGTTTGGGGCCTTGAGTTTGATTTCAAGCCAATATATATAAGGGCTTTCGGTAGAAACCAAAACCCATTCCATCAATGTTATCGTCACTATGTCCAAACAAAAATGAATCAGGATTACTCCGAGGCCCAGGACTCCACTTGCACCTTCTGAGAAGGTTGTGGGTTCGCGTGTCTTCCAGACACTCCATGGGACTGGCATTAATACTTAACTTACTGTGGTTTCAGAGTGGATGGCACAAACCCCAAGATGTCCTTTGGATAGGGGTCCATATAAACCACCTTTTGGGGATTGTGCCATTTACTCTGAACCCACTATATGACATCCATTGACCCCTAAAACCACCTTTTTCAAGGTCCCCCAACAGGTCAGTCGACAGGTGGAGATGAGTCGGTCGTGTCAGTGCCGCCAGACCCGCCCCGTCCCCGCCGAGGCTGTGCTTTTGCCTCTCGGGTCTTCCTGCTGATGGCACCGTGACGGCTGAGATGGCCATGATGTTCGGGGAGCCACCTGGTGAGACGTGGGGCCACAGCTGAATCGTTGTTGGAAAGTGGCTCAAAAACGGAGGAAAGAGCTACATTAGGACTCAGGACCTAATTAGAGGTTATTGAGATTCAGTGGCTGAGCCTGAAAATACAGGTTTCAAGTCGTATTTATTTTTAATCAGCTGGCTTTTGGGAAGCATCCTGAATCCTTGAGCCGCCCCACCATCTATTTGGTGAGTTGTGTTCGGACGATCTCTGACTACCTTGCTGGGGACGACCATTTGAACGGAATGGGTTTAGTATGGTTTAGTAAGAGTTGGGAGAAAGAACTATTTACAAAAGAAGCTACTCGGTTTTTGGCTTATAGGTCCATGCTGGAAAGTGCTCCTCATGCGTGATTTGTTGTTAGCAGAATGATGGTCAGAAGCTGGAAAACATCCTTTTCTTTGATTGCACATCTCTGTGATTTGATTGGAGCAGCGAAACGGAACGGCCAAGAAGAGAAGGCCTTCATCAACTTGATGAATGTTGCAGGCCTCTCTAAGTATATGCATATATATATGCCTACTATGTCACTATGTAGGTCAACCTGTTGGGCGTAACCTCCCCAAGGGCAGACACGGGTGATGTGACAGATGGACGACATGGGACAACATGTTTGGTCGTTTTTTTTCGTTCTTCCATTGGCTCCGGCCTCGAGGTTCTACAAGCCTCAAGCCATCATGGACTATCCCGTCGGGGGAGTCTATGGGCCCGAAGAGGGCGCGGGCAGGCGGTGGTGGGTGGGTGCATTTGAATTTGGAAATGAATATAGATTTTTGACAAATTGGATTCCCAAAGACAGTGAGTCTGGTTGTTGTGCCATTGGCTCTGAAAGAACCATACATGGTGGCAGGATGTATCTTCAAGAAGCCAAGGGCTTATTCGTTATTTGCACAGAACCTACGGCTGTGATTGAACAGACAAACGCAGCTGTTACTGTGGCACCTGGAAAAAGTCACTCAGAGCAGAAAGCAGACATGCCTTTCGAAAAGGAGGACCTGTTGGGGGGGCTCCATGGGCTTCCCACGTTTGTCCAAGAACCACCCAATTGAAATCCCTGCAGCCTAGCTTCTGCTCAGTGATTTGGTTCAACAAGAGAGTGCCACTTGTGTTTTTAGGATCCCTAAGGGTGAGACGGCTCCAGGTTCTTACAAGACATTGTTTTGTTTATTGTTGTACTTGAGGCATGTATTTGTTCCCGGCTTCTGGAAATATCCAGCAACTCCAAGAAGAGAAAGGTGCTTCACTGAGGTGAAGAGCTTGGTGGAGGCTCTGGTGAAGGGACTGGCGACTTGGCAAAACCGGGGTACCTTGGTGGACCAGAGAGAATGAACAGAATGGACTACCTGAGAGGTCCACCTATACCCCGGTTTGGGGTTCCGAGTTGTCATCCATTCCCAAAACAAACCCACCACAGTTGGCCAGATGCCTTCGGTCCGACTACCAAATTCATACTAATAATTACTATACCAGCAGTCACACAGGGGTATTGGAGGAAGTCGGGGTGCCCAGCTACTCCACTCACTGGATGGGACTAAAACCCCCTCCCCGGGCATGTGACTCCTGGGATCCCAAACTCCCGGACTTGGCCCATGGGTCCCGCGTCTTGACCTGGCGACCCACCCATCACTGAACGCATTTTGCACATGTTGGAACATCTCTCAGCACGTTTTGAACAGCCTGTCGGCTGCCGGGCCCGGACCGGGCGCACGTGGGCACTCTCAGAAGTTTGCTTCGTCACCGGAACCCGGTGGTGGGAGCGAATGACTCACCACGGGAAGAATGGAATCTGGAAGGGGTCCCCCGAAATGCGAGATATGGGGGACCAATGACCTCCCCCAAGTGATCTTGCATGGACTCCTTGAAGGGGGGCCGAACGTGAACTAGTGACCTACCCTGAACCTACATCATACGACATCTTACTGTAACTTACTACCTTTCATAATCAAAGTGCTTAGACTGGAAATGAAAAACCAGAAAATGGTTTAGAAGCTTTTGGGATGGTTTTGGGATGGCTGTTTCACCTCGGCTTTTGCCTTTCTTGACCGGTCTACCCTCCATTGGCTTTCATAGGTGAGGACAGTGACAGCGACTCGACGAGGGGTCCGGAAAGGGAGCCGATCGACTCGTTCTTTTTCCACGGCGATGACACAGCTGGGTGGTGCTTTCAGATATTCCCTAAAGGCTCTTAGAAGGTGTTGGAGTGGGTTTGGAGGGTCCAAATACCTTCTGAAGAGGCACGACTGGAGCCCTAGGGATTGTTCATTCATGTTTATGTTCAACCCTTTACTTGGGCCGATGAAACCCACTGGAGTAATACGTTGTTTGTTTCAAGTTGCAACCAGCAAATGCGTTGCCAATTGCCAACCCCTTGGAGAACCACAACGGGTCAGGGGAACAAAACTCTCTTCCCTGGGAGAAGGAAGAAAGGGCCTGACGAACGAGGACCTGATTTTGGTATATTTCGGGAAGTTTCCTTACTTCAGAATCAAGAAACAGTATGGGTGTGTGTATTTAAATATAGGTCCCCCCCAAACCACACCATAGTGTTTCTTTGAAGGGATTCATGTGAGACAGGAACGGGCCGCACTTCTTCTCTCTAAGTCCTTCTGTCCGAGTGTGTCCCTATCTCGAGCCATAGTGCCTTCGTGTTTGGGCGTGGCGTTTGAGATGGCCCCCCTTTCAATCAAGCTCGCTGTCCTCAAGCAATTTAAGTTTGGTGGGGTGCAGGTGCGGCCAGCTTTGATGGAAGCTTGCCACATGTTTGATTGTTTGCGTTCTCAATCACCTGGCTTTGAGTGAATTCAATCACCTACTTGCAGCGTTCACAACGGTCGTCGATCCATAGCGTTGTGGTCTATGTCTTTTGTTCCTCCTTCCAGTGGGTCTTTCAGGGTCTTCATAGTCCAACAAAACACGTCTTAGGACGGTCATAGGATCTGTATTCTCATACAATTCAAATATACAACCGGGGGTCTTCATCCTTCGGCCACGTCTGAGGACGTCTGACGGATGTTTGACGGACTTCCTCCCTGTCGCTGTCGTTCGTCCTGCCTTACCGCGGCCAGTGAGTCCGAAAAGAAACCATTTCCTGAGCTGCTGAGTCACATCGACTCAGACAGTCGGAGTACTGTCGACTGGGGTGGCGGATCCGGCCAAAGCCGAAGCCGGACCGGTTGTAGTGCCTTAAGGTGGCCCTTCCTGACCCTCCCACGTCTGTTGTAGTCACTTCAGGTGGGGCATTGAAACCATAAAATAAGGATTGCGTGGGTTCAGGAACAGGAAGCCGGAAGTAACTGATGAGTCACATGTTGAAACTTCTTTGCCCCATCCTCCACCACTCCATTCTCCTCATTTCTCCTCATCTACTTCGCGCGACCCACGGCGTCGCTGGTTCAGGAATCTCATGGTGGTTCACTGCGCTTGAACACTCCCGTGAAGCAACTGGTGATGTCGAGTGGCACCTGCCACGGCGTCGAGTTGGTCAATGGTGACGTGTTGGAAGCGTCCAGTGTGGTGTGCAACGTGTGCCTCGGCAAGGTGTTGGGTTTGCCTGGCCACTCTGTTGATCACCAAGACCTTTTTGGGGCGGTATTCCCCACTCAAGAAGACTAAGAACAGGTGGAACAAAGATTAGAACAGGTTATATATATATAAAATATACTACTTGTATAACATGTTGTTTTTGGAGTTCGGGATTTCCGGAGTCGGGTTTTCGTTCTCTCGACACTTTTCTATGGTGGGGCCCACTCGATGATCCCGCATCGAACCGGGGGCGGCATCCGGACTGGATCCATGGGACCCTTAAGACGGGAACGTTCATCATCCCAAATAGCAAACAATCGGAGTCACCTGTCCCATAGAGTCTTTTTTTCGGGCAGGTTTTTGGCTAGTCATCATTCACTGGATGGGACTGGAGATGCATGTTCGGTTCGAGTACAAAAGCTTTCGGTGGCCAGCAACCATTTCACTTGTACCAGCTGCCACGCGGCTTGGGACAGTTGAGTTCTTATGCCCTCTCCCCAGAACATCAAGCCCAGAAGTTGTGTCAAAAAGGCAGTGCAAAAGTGCAAAAGGGGGTTAATCTAAGTTGAGCCAGTTGGATCAGTTGGACAAACAGAACCCATCTACAAGGTCCTGCAAAAGGCCAGCAGTCTCTTAAGAATAACACGTTGCGTTGAAAGACAGAAAGGTCTTTGTCTCTTGCGTTGAAACCCAAGCAAGTGACACACAGGAAACCATCCAGAGGTGTTGTTTCTATTGTTCAGCTTTCATCGCAGTCTCTCATAGGAAAAAAACACATGTTTCCTTTCAACCATCCGTTTTTCCTGAAAAGAGACCACAGCATGTCATTACCCCCTAGCAGCATAGACTGTACCACTGCCACCAAGGAGTGCCTGGGATTTGCCAAAGCTTTTGCCGACTTCGGTGAGTTCGCAGACCTGGTGCCGCGAACGCGCTGCCATGCCAGCCACCAAGTCCTTCATGCGTCTGGGCGCTGACTGACTGTTCACACTGAAACACTGAGAATCGCATGTCCACCATCTACTATAATGAAGAGACAAGGCAGACCTTTTTCTTTCATACAATCCCTGAATCGTTGATGGAAGTGGACCATTAACATGCCCTTCAACTCAAGAAAGGTTCAGAGATCTTCTCCCATGGTGGCTACTGTGAGTCACGCAGTTTCCTTGCAGCGTCCCATGGTGGCCATGAATTGGTCCCAAGGTGGCTACTGTGAGTCACGCAGTTTCCTTGCAACGTCCCATGGTGGCCATGAATTGGTCCCAATTCTTCAGATTTTGAGTGCTGTATGAAAACAAAATAACACCTCCCAGGCGAGGCATTCCGCCCCCTAGGGTTTGGTTCGGCAAATGAAGCAGACCAGCCCTTTGGGCCCAGAGATGCCATTGAAATACACATTTCATCCCGAGTTGGTCCTTGGGATCCTCGCAGTTGACGTTCATCCATCCAAGAGGCCCGGGGAAAGCACACCGAGGGGTGAAAACTCCCTGTGACCATGGGTGTTTTTGTTGGTCTCTGTGAACTATGAAGAGGTGTAAGAAGAGTAAGGTTTGGGTAAGTTAACGAACGGCGTGCGTTTGGTGATTGAGGTGGCAATGGTTGTCAGGTCAGTTCCTTCGAGCGCTAGCCCACGGGAAGACCTGGGTGCATGGGTGCAGGAGAAAGCTTGCGTTGGGTGCAGTCTGTTTCTCCCCTGTTGGCAGGGTGAGTTTGATGAGATGGTTTTCATGATCTTAGAGGTATAACGGTATAATATAACTCGGCAAAGGATTAACTGACATGAACTAGGTAATGTAACTCACATGAACTCACTAAAAGATAATCACTAATTTTTGAACAGGGCCTTTACAAACCATCATCATCCACTGGGCCCTAACTAGTGGGGTCACCCCTCTTTCGGGATGACTGGAAATGATCGGTACCACAAACCCTCTTGGTCCTGCAGGGATCATCGATGGTCATCATCCTTTTGATACATGTTCACTGATATTGAATGATATTTGATTTTATTTTAACATGTTCAATTCCGTTTGGTCACCAACATTTTGCCCTTTTCCCTATCAACACAGGGGTTGTTCCAAGGTCCAACAAGCGTTGCTTTCTTCGGCGATATTGACCACTGATCGACCCGAAACGACCTGGCTCCACGCCCGGGCGTCGACCGGACGTGGCTCGGTTCAGGCACTTGCACGTGGGCTTTGATGCCCGAAGCCTCGAGCTGAAGCAATTGCAACCGCACTACATTTGTCCCATGGCGGCGTTTCTGAAGGCGTTTCAGACCAAGTGGTGGACGACGACGACGACGACGACAACGACAAGATGTGGTTCGGTGGTGGACGACCACGGTCCCGGGTAAACCAGAAGACCCGAAGGATGAAGCGTGAAGATATCGTGGAGTCACGCACTATAGCGGTTTTGGGGGGGGGCGTTTCAGCTGCAGTTGTTTTGTGTTTTGGTGTTGGTTCAGTTTGTTGTTTTGTTCGATTGGTTTGGTTGTGCTTGGTTTGGTTTGGTGACCAATGACCCCTATAGGCCCTACCCCTCTTTCCGGTGTTTCCGCTCACTGGGCGGCGGACCGAGGGTGTGGGGCGGTTGGTTCGGTCACCGTGCGACGCTGCCTTTCAAACGGGGAGACTGCCAGCCCGAGGGCTGCTCAAGCCATGTGACACCCATTGTGGTCAATTACTTTTGGAATAACACAATTCGTTCTATATGTAGACTGATGACTAAACTAATAATAACCTCCCCCAAGCCTGAAGGGGTGTTACAATCCATATTTGGGGGAGTTGATCAAGATTCCTACACATTGCTACCCTAATGCCATCGGGATCGCCTGCTTGGATGCCCTCCCTTCTTCCACGCTACGTCGTCGGCGACCGAGGCTTAGAGGATTGGACTCGTGGGGTGGAGGCTGAAGAGAATGCCGTGTTGATCTCCATCCCTTCCGTCGAGGAAGACGGACGTCACGATGGACCACGCGGCGTGCGCGGGCGCGCGGGTGTGTGTGCGTATGTGTGTCTGTGTGTGTGATCCTGTTTCCAAGGGCTTTTGACCGCTCACTTGTCCTTTCATGATCTTTCAGGCACCAGCTCGCGCACATAGAAGCCGGGCATGTCAGTGCAGCGGGCGACCAGAAGATCAATCAGAGACGCTCCCGCAGAAGTGATGACTCCGGGAGTTAGCTTCTAGCTACTAGTAACAAGGGCATCGCTACTAGTAACAGGGGCAATACTCGGCAATACTACTAGCAGCAAGAAGCTACCAGTAGCGATGCACTTGTTACTAGTAGCGATGCCCCTGCTGTACTGATAAGTCTTCATACTTACCGGCTTATGTTGGCTGAACTGTCCCCAGCACGTGCGTTTATCTTCAAGCCACGAGCGGAACACACAGCTAGAAAGTACAATCTCTATGATAATATGTATGCAATGCAAATGCGTAATGGATGTGTATTTGCTGTAGATACACCTTTTCTTTGCACTAAAAAAGCACAAACATGCTTCTCCGAAATCTTCCCATGCCATGCAGTCAGAACCAAATGAAACTCTTGGTCTTCCTCAAGGCTTTTAGATTCAGCCATTACCCCTCGACTGTTGAAGCAGCTGCCCGTGGCTTAGAAGTTTCGCTGCTTCACTGCTTGACCACCTAGTAAACCATAAGTGTGCATTGTTTTAGTAATTTTGAAAACAACAAACAATATTTTGTGAAATAATGACACTTTCTCAACTTCACAAATCCCAACATACACTTCTTGGTATTTCACAACATTCCAGACACGTTACATGAGAAACCGGATCCAAAGGGTTCCCAGCCACCGGACCGGGCTCAAAAGAAACACAAAAACACAAGAGCGGAAATACCCGTCCAAAAGGCGGAAATCGGCGGAACAAAGGCGGAAATACCCGGACAAAAATATTGCCCAAGTTTGTCAGGTTTGAAGGGTCAATTATGGTCAATTTGAAGTGGATCTGTGTCCACTGAAATGGGCCAGGAAGACACGCCAGCACTTTTCACTCCCGATTACACTTTTGCTTGAAAGAGTACTTTTTTGCTTCCAAATCAGCCGATGACAAAAAAAAGGCAAGGTTGGGTGTTCAAGGCATGTATGTATATATATATATAATCCCCGTAAAAATTTCATCCATAGAATCAGTCCCCCCCAGGCTCCTGCATAGAACGGTTCTACGAACTACCAGGCTCTCCAGAAGAGAGTCCAAAAGTGGGGGACCACTCAATTTATGGACAGCCCTTTTTGGGTGGACTCCTATCCATTCTATGGAAAGGCAATCTTCCTATAATCTCAGATCAAAGGCTGTTTCAGGTGCTGGACTCCAGCCATTCTATAAGCACAGCATTCTTGAGAAGAATACTAAGGAAAGAACTAAGGAGACTCCTGCTGGCGTTCATGGGCCTTAGCTTGGGCACGCCCAGCCCACAAAAACATAAAGAAACACTACTTGTAACTAGTACGCCGAAAGGTGTAAAATAGCGCCAAAAGGTGCAACTAATCTTCTTTTTCTTGAGGAATCGTTGGGCTCAACTTCCAGTGTCGGCTATTAAAATCCGACACTGGCTGAATAGGATTTTGGTGTGTGTTGCCAGTTCTGGTCTTTTCCAGAACTGGGTGTGTGTTGTGTGTATTACTTCCAGTGTCGGCTATTAAAAT